GCATCAATTTTGAATAAATTAGCTNGATAAAGCAGCGAGTGCATAAGTAAAAAGCCCACAGGATTTGAATGGAATCCCCGGAAGCTAAGCGATGACACTAGCGATGCTTTCAACTAATGAAAAGCGAGCATAAAAAATAAGTAAAAAATATAGCTGAAAAGTGATATATTTACAAAAGCGGCTATTTGTGGTGCCTGCAACGACCAACAGAATTTTATATGAGAGATAATCGGACAGGCAGGATGTGTATTTTTGGAAAATAGAAAAAATTACAGCAACCGCCAAATGTAAAAAGCGGCACAAAAAACTGTCAGAGGTGTAAATTACACAAAAAAATAAATAAATAAAAAGATAAAAAAGGAACCTATACTAATGACAGCTTTGCAAAACGAAGAGAGTGGAGCAGTGCCATTTCAAAGGAACTTTCTTTGCTTCGAAAAGTGCGCCGGCTTGTGTGCTCTCAATGCACTTTCAGTGTTCAACTCGCATACCTATCCGCATATCAATTTGATGGACAAGCATAACAAAAATAAGAAGAAGAATAATAGCAAAAGCGTTGTGCCACAAATAATATTTTATTTATTTAAATGCCAGCAGCAACAGTATCATCACTTGGCTACTGTTTTGGTACAAGCTTTGGATGCTTTAATTGTGAGTGGTGTGGTGCTGACCGCGACTGACCGACTGGCTGTTAGTCACCGTAAAGCAAACAAAGTAAAGTCAGCCAAGTAAAGCAAGTGAAAATAAAAGCGAAATAAATCGAGTGGAAAGCTAAAAAACAATATATGGGTTTTAATAAAAATAGTTAAATAAAAAATATAAAATCCTCTGGGAAAGAAGAGGAGGAGCGATAAAGCAGGTACTCAGAACATGGATGTTTGTATACAGAGAGATTGCAAAAGATTTATACTTTGCAGCAGTGGCAGCGCGGACGCAGATATTTTACGGTAATAATTTATGTGTTGCACCCAGCGGTAGTCAGCCGCGTCTGTCACATACGGATAAGACGCAACTGCCGCAGCATGTGCGCGATACGTACATATGTAGTGTGGCGGCAAAAGGATTACATGCATGCATTCCGTTTTTGTTGTATCATATTTTTTTCACGAGCCAGCAGCTTTGAAAGTAAATGAATGGCCGACATAATTGATAAAGTCGAAAGGATTCCATGTGGTGCCACCAACAGCACCACTGTTGACTGTCCACTGACCAACTACTCGCTTCGGTCACTTTTTAACGCATTAAACACGTTGTAAAAAGTCAATTGGTGGCATTTGAATGTCGTACAGTTGGCGCAATCGGAAAGTTGGAAAGTCTATGAATTGGCTGGTGTAATAAAATAGCAATGTAGTGGCACTATTAAACTCACACTCATACACTTACATACATACATATACATATGTATATGGACATGTAAAGTCATTGGTTCGGGTGTATTTCCTGTTTCATGGTATACAATTTTTAATTTCTGTTTTTATTGCCACTTCAATCAATGCAACAAATTGTACCAGCTTTTATTACGCTTCTTTTATTGCTTCAGATCTACGTGTATTTGCTTTTGTTTTATTTTATTTTTTATTTTTTTTTTGTAGTCAAGCAATAACTCTTATTTATCAAAACTACACTTGACATATTTATGACCCTAACCGCATCAACCACATAAACTACTTTGCCGCATAAAAAAGAGGCATTGCCTTACTAGATCTGTCTGCACTTACAAAAAAAAAACACTGGAAGAAATTTTTATATTAGTGTATTAACATATATGTATGTATGTAAGTGAGTTACTTAATTCCACTTTTACTCAGAATGGAATCCTTTACTCGAGAAATTAGATTTTTCGCAACTATACGTCTCAAACAGCTCATTTTTAAGCTACATAACGTTAAGTTCCCAGTGGGAAAAGTAGTAATGCATTCCATGCGTGATAAATAATTGAATGTATTTCGTAAGAGTTTTACATCCAATTACTGTTCAATATGTAATCAGCATTCTAATGTATTCAAAAAGTTCCAAACAATTTCATATTAAATCACATTCATTTCTCGATACCAGGTAATGCAAAATTGAAAAAGTTTACATTTGTCAGTAAGCAAATTTTTGTCACCGAAACAGAGTTAGGCTATAAGTATAAAGAAAGCGTTGGCAAGTCGAAATTTGTATAATGAGAGAATTTGTTTGCTTTTTCATATGAGATAACTTAGTTGCTCTCATTAAACCTTCTAACAGACCAATATACCGGCCCGCTAGGTGTACGTTTTTCTGCAAATCTCACCCAAAACCCAGGCAAGAATAGTGTGTCCAACAACTAAAGCAAACCTCAAAGTCAAAAAGTGATAACCACAGCCGGCGCTCGCCCATATTGTGCCGCCGAAGAGGTAGGTGGATTGCAGTGATCCCGAAGGAACAACTGGTACGACAAGGAGTGTCGCGATACTGTAGAGAGAAAATATGTCGTCTATAGGGCTACGCGGCGATCGAGCGCAATGCGATGTGTGAGTGCGAGAAGCTTAAAATCCTGGTCGACAGGAAAAATGCCGAACAATTTTTGTAATAAAGTCGGACTACTTACACAAGAATTTAAGAACAGGACGCTTCTTGTAAAAAGAAACACCGTAACTTAGTGGCCGATGTTCGGAGCATGCTTTGATGGGAAGACTTTTCCAACCTGCAAGGTAAACATCACTAAAATTAGCAGAAAAGATACGGAGTCTACGGAACCGATTATAATGATAAGGATATGAGCTAACCATCGTGGGACCAGATTTTTTCGAACGTATTGTGTGAAAGATTTCAGCCGTACGTAAACAAACTGATTGCACCTTATCAATGTAGCTTTTCGCCTGCCACAACCATCTCCTTGTCGATTTTGCTTGAAAAGAAGTTGCCGCTATGACTGTATTTGGTATTTCTACGAAACTAAGTAAAACAACGGCTGGGTGAATTTTATGTTCTCCGCCGCGTTATTCGATAATGAGCGAGGTTTGAGACTAGCCGTCTCCCTATTGTGCAATTTCTTTAACTTGATATAGGAGAAGATAATAAGAGCTGCAGGTCTGAGCTGCTTACATATAATCAAACGCTCCATCCCGAAAAGTTTTAACGTGGTAATAACTGGTGGTACCAGAGTTATGCGTTGGATGTACCAGGTATAAAAGAACTAGGTTTTACTTTCCTAAAACAGAGGAAAACGATTGGCGTGCTTTACGAAAATCGACTGAAATCACGTAGACGATTACAGCTCTGAAGAAGAAGAAGGTTGCCGAGAGCGGAATTAAGAGCCGAGAGCCATATTTGCTTCAACCCTCACCAAAGTCAAGTAGATTCAGTTGGTGTACAGACTTTTCGTCTTAGAAGCTGAACTTTAAAAATGTATCTGCCCTTGAAACAAATGTTTACAGAACAAACATTTTATTTAAAGTACAGATAATTTTTAAAACCCACTTGAGAACACAGCCCTAAGAAAGCGCACATCAATAAAATACGAATGAACCATATTCCTTCAACCAAATTTTTTCATTTTTCTCAGTGTCTCGCAATCGGCTAGATATGGATTTCAGCAGATTAAATTTGACACAACTAGACGTTCAATATAACATAGTATCTCAACGGGTACTGCTCGTACATCAGTGCCTGTACATACATACATATGTCATTAGGCTGGTCCTTAAAATAAAATGAGCGATCTTTTTCAGTCTCACCCCTTCGATCGGTTATACCACGATTGGAGACGTTTAAGGCGTGTCACACAGCGGCCAAAGTTCAGATTCCTTTATAGAGACTCAACAAATTTAAATTAGTTTTTTTGACATCTTATACCCAAAATCGTTACTACCGTAGTCGAAGATATCACATATAAATTTTGGTCCCGATATTTTTTTCATTTAATACCCAAAATCGATACTACTAAAGTCGAAGATATCACATCAAAATTTTGGTCTCGATTGGAGTCGGTTAAGACGTCTTCTATGGTAATCTGAATTTTGACCCCAGTGCGCCACGCCTTAACTGACTCAATCGGGGCCAAAATGTATATGTGATATCTTCGACTATAGTAATATCGACGTAGGGGTTGAGGATTAGGAAATCTGATGTAAAAATTAGCTTCCTACATTTAAGGCCCACCCTAATGCACATATATGCGCAAATATATCCGGTACGATGCGTAAGAAATTGTCGGCAGTTGCCGCACGCTGAAATGATAAACACCAAAGCGCTCTCAACTTACACGAGTATACACGTTTTGAGTAACTACTTTGTACCGGCTGGCAACACATCGGCAAAGCAGCCACAAATCTTTATGATACCGAAGACACATGGCGACAGCAGATAGTAAGGTAAGAAAGGCAATAAGGCGTTACAGCGATGATTGCGTCTGGTGGTTATCACAATGAAATGGATGCCGCGCAAAAAGATTTAGCAGGCTGTTGCCTGATGGTTGAGTGTTGGTTGTTAAAGCTCCGAATGCCGACTGTTGTTGAGAATGGTGTTGAAAGGCTGAAAACGCGTGCGCTTTGGAACTAGATACGCATGCGCAGGCGACTGATTGCACTTTCAATGGCACTCATATATTTATGCACCCATGCGTGAGAGAAACAAATACGGGGTTTATATTTTATTGACGTTCGTTCAATGCATGCAATAACTGCAAGTAAATAATTCTCAGCGCGTGTAATTGCATTCTTCTATTCATTGCTAATTTAATCTGACTGCAATATCGCGTCAGATGCTACTCCCCTCTCAAGTTAATCAAAACAATTGTGGCATAATTTCACGCNGCGCGTGTAATTGCATTCTTCTATTCATTGCTAATTTAATCTGACTGCAATATCGCGTCAGGTGCTACTCCCCTCTCAAGTTAATCAAAACAATTGTGGCATAATTTCACGCCTTGCCGTAGCGCCTTTTACTACATCCCATCTTCCTCACAAACGCATATCGATTTCAAGCCTTGAGAATCTCTAAATATTTTCTTGAAGTAACTTTTTGTTTTTGCTCACCTGATCCGGTCTCAGACCGGGCGGCACCCATGTGTACTCCTCCAGTGCACAGCCGCTGTCATCGTCCGAATGCGAATGCCGTTGCATGTCGAGCTGCTGATGGCCGACTAGCTGGAAGGGCGGATGCGCCGACGACGGATGGTGTAGCAGCGAAGGTGGTGAAGGTGATGAAATCGCCGGCGATAGCTGGTGCGGCGCATGTTGGTGCTGCTGCTGTTGTTGTTGTTGTTGTTGCTGCAGAGCGTGCGGCTGCATACCATGCTGCTGTTGATGCTGGTGTTTCAGCGATGAGGTCGAATACTTGGACGAGGAGGAGTGCGCGGAATGTGCCGGTGAATACTGTGGCGGTGCGTGATGCGCCAACATGCCGATTGAAGGCGAGCAATGCGGCGGCGCTGGTGGCGGCAGCTGATGATGTGGTGGCAAATATTGTTGATGCAATTGAGGGAGATGAGATGACGGCGGCAATGGCGGTTGGTGCTGTTGCGGTGGTGGCGGGTGATGAAATTGACGCTGTAGTGGCAGTGGAGATGTTGGCAGGCCTGTGGCATTCGGGCTGTACAAAGCGCTGGCAGATGAGCTACTGGGTAAGCCACCGGTTGCGAGTAGTGATGGTGTTACACCTGGCGCACCAATACCTCCGGCCGATGCTGCTGCTGCGGCTGCTGCACTGGGCGAAAAGTGGCGCGGCAGTGTTGGTATTTTCTGCAAATATGAAACCTGTGTCAGCGGCGTGCGGCTGATTGGCCTGCAAAGAGCAAGAACAAGAAAAAGGAAAAAAAAAAACTGAGTATATATATTTATAAGAAAATGGATTAAAAAATAAGAAAAATGGAGAATTAATTGAACTCGTGGTGGCATATTTTACTACCATAGTTACTTGCGCGTTATTGCCGCGCCAGTGCAATCAATCGTTTTCCAATTTTATTTTCCACAAATAGCCCCATTCGCTTTTGCCTATTCTTTATTGTGTCCTATTTTCAGCAGCATTGTAGCCATTCCTGGCTGTTGCAATGTGCAGCCAGCTGTGTGGCATGCAGCATAGCCAATTGAAAGTTAATTAAATTGTAAGTGGTTCTACTGGCGTGATCCCGAAAGGTGAAGTTGAAGTTTTAACAGCAATTAGGGTGCGCTACTTCTGCCTAGCTGGTGTTGCATTCGTGGAATTGAGTTTAAACGGAATTGCCGCCAATTAGGAGCGAATAAATTTGTAATTAGGAAATTTAGGAAAAATGTAATAATAATGACAGAAATTTACAAATTGTATATTTAGCTTACTAATGCGGTATTTTAAAAAGTTTGGTCCATATATGAGGAGTTACGAGGAATTCTACGAACATTAAATGTTTTAATAGAAGATCCATATTTTCTGAACAATTTTTTCTAAATATTCCTTAACAAATTAAAAATAAAATCTTAACATTCATCGCAGCTCTCCCTGAGGACATTAGTACTATAACTAACCATTGTATGACTACAAGTCACCGTCAGTGTAATTTTTAGGTCTCATGTGGCACAACGCTGAAACTGGCTTGCCTTCAAACAAATTTTACAAGGGATGACGGAAAATCCTTCCGCAATGCATAAATATTTGTTAATTGAATATAGGGTACCCAAGAAACACTGGAACCAAAATTTTCAAATGGTTGGGAAAATTTTATTTCTAATGTGAAACCACACAATTTCATAAATTTTTATCAAATATTGGTTGAGAATTTTTGTGTAGCATTTCATTCCGTTTATAATGTGAAACTAAACAATTTCTTACATTTTTCTCAAATATTGGTTGAGATTTTTTTTTAGCATTTTATTCCGTTCCATCTGTGTCAGCAATGAAAAGATGTCAAAGTCTAGTCAAATTGGCTCCTCAACTATCTGTGCTTTTTTTTGTTTAAAATTTGTTTTGAATTGCTGAATAAATTGAAACGTTACCAAGGTACATACATATAATTCCGGTGTAAATGGTTAGTAACAAAATTTCCCGGTTACAAAATGTTCAGTAACAAGCATAATACTCCTTAAAGTGCAATATTAATTCACACATTTGGACGGTATTCTTCTTCGATTTATAGTGTGCGTCCTGATGCTGGTGTAGTTACGGTCCGTTTTACCAATTTTCCATACCAACCTACCATGGATAAAGGGCAACTTGCATAGCGAATTCCGTAACCGAAATTTTTTCTCGAGTTATCGTGTACACGGAAAAACGGAAAGTCTAACAGGCATGGCTTAATTGACCTCCCGCTCCTTATTCTGAGTATTTTGGTATATATGTATCTGTCTACATCTATCTCAAGTAGAGATGGGCACGGGACTAAATATTTAATCCCGATCCCGCCCATCCCGAAATTCGATTTTTAAGTCCCGAACCCGCCCATCCCGACGTTTTTCAGAATTGTACCGCGGGTCCCGTGTATCCCGTTATCTATCTCTAAAGCAGGCTACAAACGGACAGCAAATTGAAACGATCGGGTTAGATTTCAACGTGTGTGGCGAGGTTTGCAAACCGATCGAAGGTTGACGAAAATGTTCACGTCTTTCAAATTAATTTTAAATAATAAAAATAATAATGAAAGATCTGGCATCTTCCTTCCATTTTGAGTATCATGTGTATGCATGTACCCAGCAAAATACTCTTAAATCAGAAGTGAAAATGTAATCGTGAAAAAATTTATAATCGCTTAGCTAACATTTTTAGAGTGCATTCATACAACATACAAGTAAATATGAGTATGCACTCGAAACTTTTCTTTCGATATCAACTACTTTTTGAACTCGGATCGAATCGATTTGATCAAGTGTCAGTCATGTCGGCCATATACTTTCTATGGAAGAAACTATGTAGAGCGTCGGCTTTGTAAAAATAGTTAATGGACCTTAGTTTAAAAGGTGGCACCGCCAAAATCTGAAGTGTGAACGATGAACGCCTGAATTAAAATTTTCACATTCTTTGCTTAGACGTGGAAATTGCTGTGCATTTAGTATATTTATTTTTAAAAACACCGGCAACGTTGTTAGTTTTTACGTTTCTGCATAAAGCCGTTATCTAGAGCTAAATAAAATGAAGATTGAAGCAGCAAAATATTTTTGCCTGCACAGTGATCGTTTTGGCCTTCTTCAGCATTTTTCTACATGTCACGCTACGCTAAGCAAGAGTTTTATCCAAAAAGATTTTTATACCAGTGAACGCAAATTACCGTTAAATAACAAGATATTTATATTTATACCATTGCAAAATCGTTATTTTTGGATTTTTATTCAGCCCTATCGTGAGTTGCGCCCGAAAACCAATTCACAGATTTTTTTTTATTCGCCCAAAACTTAAAATTAAGGCTGATTTAATAGTTAGTTTGTGATTTACCTATTTTTCAATCAAAAATATTTTTTCTTTTTTTTCTTTTTACCGATCATTTTTAAGCGTTACAATGGGCACCGAGTTTTTATGTTCTATTTAAATATAAACAAATTGAACCTGGAAATAACTAAGTATTATAAATTTATCCAAAGAATATCGATACGGTTAAATTTGATCAGAAAAAAAGAAATCCAATTTCAAAGGTAAAATTATGATTTTTTAGACTATTACATTTGTTTACTATTGAGAAACAAAAATGCATAGATAAACTTCTCACTTTCCATTGACTGCAAAATTTTTTGCTGGGATACATACATATCGGAGTAAGCATATGTATATACATATATGTATATCATAGGGAAATTAAATGAAATATGCTGAAACTGCACAACGGCAACCCAATAAACATACAGAGAAAAAGCGTTCCACATAAAATAATCTAAAAACCCGAAAATAATAAAATAAAACTCCCAAAAAACCTTTAGCTACGCTTCCCGCCTTTTTATGCATTATTCGTTGTTGTTTTGTACTCCGCTTTGTTGCGTACTTTTGACAGCTGTCAATGCATGTTGGCGGATATTTTGGCGGGTTCATGACGCGTGTTCGCCGTTCGTCGAAGCCAAATGCAGGCAACGGCGCGTAAATGCAATAATTTTTGTTTTGTTATCAACGCCTTGCAAATGAAATGCGCCAAACTTAGCCAACAGCCAGACGGGAGGTGAATTTCACGTCAGAGAACAAATTTGCATAGTACATTCATACCTACATACAGAGGTATTTTTGTGATTGTTGTTTTGCGTAAAATATTTTTGTTGATGCCAATATTTTGTTCGTTGTTACTTTTGTCGTGCATTCGATACCTTTTTATGTGCATGGTAGAAGGTTGAAATATTTTGCCACGGCTGAAAGGGGAGCGATCAGATGGTGTAGCAGCGACAATTTAAAAGAGTAAGAAAAACATTACAAACTCGCATACCTAGCTGGGAAAGTGTACATGCTGGCCAGGATTTCTGATTTGGATATAGTGTGTGAAATTTTTCGACAATCTGAAGTAAACGCGAATACCATATTTCCGTTTATCAACCACTTGGTAGAGCTGGGATACTATCGATAGTTGAAAGCTGTCGCCTCTATCGATAGTCTTTTCAACTATCGCTTCGAAAACTATCGAGTGGCGGTACTATCGATAATCTCCCAGCTCTATCGCTTGGTTTATACTTTTGCATATCTGTTACAACCTTTACCAACCAGTAAGCTTTGAGCCATCATTGTATTTTTGGTCTAGCTTGAGTGGAATAAGCAAAGACCAGGCTTGGAAATATACAGTTCATCCATCACCTTCGGTACGACTCTATGCTGCTATGACTGCAGGGTCTGAGCTCGAGCTGTTTGAGTAAATTTTAACTTTAGCACCACGCACCTCAGCAGCGTACGCTTATTTGAACCCCTCCTTTCAAACAGATGGCCATCCTTGTAACATTCAACTCCAGCTAAACAGAATACTAAACATACATATTTTTTCATTTCATGCAATTGACAATTGGCATCGCGACCTTAGCTCAGTGAGTAGACCATTTGCTTTGTACGCCGGAGTTCACTTCTTCAAATGCCAGTGAGCTCGATGAGGTACTCTGATGAGGAGCTGTGTCGATTCCAACGATGTTGACAACAATTTGGCAACCCCTAACGAAGTATTTGTTGCCCGACAAACGTAATTTTTTTGGTTACTTGTTAGTCGAGTTCCAGCAGGTCAGTTCCAATTTAAAAAAAATATATACAAATTTACGCCAAAAATTCTGTTTCCGTTTGACAGTTTGATGTGTCAATAGCACTGGAGATGTACCATAGTAATGAAGTTGTATTTGTTGTTATTACTGTTATTTATTTTTTTTTGTTTTAGATATTTGTTGGCCGCTTTGTGTTCTGTGGTTGGCTGTCAATTAATTGCGATTTTCTTCTGTCAAGCGTTCGTTTGAAGTTTATAACATACCTATTCATCCACTGCACATAGTTTTTTAGCGGGTGTATTTTTTCATGGTTTTACTTGTTATTTTGTTTTGTATTATACCAAAGGGATTAGATTTTAATTGGTTAAGCACAAGTGAGAATGATGCATGCTTTTTTAATTAATAAACTACGTGCTGGTTTCATTTTCGAAACGTTGAATGAATTTTCAGGCGGAAAAGGAATTTCTGATCAAACTAGTTAATATTGTATTCCCCATTTGGTAAACCCATTGCAGAGTTGCTTGCTGAAGATGGAACTGAATGTATAACGTAAAGCGGTGTGATATGAAATTAAATATAAGGCCGAAGGTTCAGTTTGAAATGCTACAGTGAATTACTCCACGCAATAAAATACTTACTTGTATTTTTGAATGAATACGAAAACAA